ATAGAGCGCTGCTGTGTTCCATGCCTGAAGGGCCCCTTACGTTCTTGGCATTGCCCAGCTGGAATGTGACCGGCCTGTTTCTCCTTCCAGGCGAGGGAGAGGATGGAGAGGACGAAGAGCAGAAGGGGCCGGAGCTCAAGCAGGCCTCCCGCCGGGACATGTACACCATCTGCCAAGCGGCCGGTCTAGGTAAGGGGACCCCCCCCCCCCCCGGCTCCCGGGCATCCCTCCTCTCCTCCCCAGAGTCCTGCAAGGCATTGATGGGAAGTGGGCGGAGTCAGCAGGCACTCTCCTTCTGGGGGTCAAGGGAGGTCAGCACATACAGGCCCCAACTTATAACCGTTCGCTTAGCGACCGGTCAAAGTTACAACGGCACTGAAAAAAGGGACCTGCGGCCCTTTTTCACACTTTTTCCACACCATTGCACCATCCCTGTGGCCACGGGATCAAAATTCAGACACTGGGCAACTGGCAGGTCCTTAGGATGGTTGCCTAAGTGTCCTAGGGTGTATGTGTGTGTGTGTCATGTGATCCTTTTGTGACCTTAGGAAAGTCATTGAGGAAGCCAGATTTCACTCAACAACCAGGTTGCTAACTTAATAGCCGCAGTAATTCCCTGCCCAGCGGTGGCCAGAAAAGTCGTAAAACGGGGCAGAATTCCCTTAAGAACTGTCTCGCTTAGCGGCAGAAAGGTCGGGCTCCCCTGTGGTCGTAACTTGAGGACTGCCTGTAGAGCAGTGGTTCTCAACCTGTGGGTCGGGACCCCATTTGGGGTCAATTGACCATTTCACGGGGGTCGCCAAGCAAGGCTGTCCGCCATTTTTTCCCCCTTTTCCGGCGGGTGCCTTACCTCCCTTGGGCTGGGCCAGCTGGTGGTCGGCCTGCTCCGTCTCTGCCGCTTGCCAGCTATGCCTCGGCCGGCGCAGGGGGCGGAACCACGCATGCACGGCGCTCCCAGGCAGGGAAAGTCCTCGACTTACGACCGGTTGGGTAGTCCTCGACTTACGACCGGTTTAGTCCTCGACTTACGACCGGTTTAGTCCTCGACTTACGACCGGTTTAGTCCTCGACTTACGACCGGTTTAGTCCTCGACTTACGACCGGTTTAGTCCTCGACTTACGACCGGTTTAGTCCTTGACTTACGACCGGTTTAGTCCTCGACTTACGACCGGTTGGGGTCGCGGCATTAAAAAGGTTGAGAACCACTGCTGTAGAGCATGCTTAGGCTGAGCGTAGAAGTGTGTAGATCGGCGTCTCCCTCAGCGTTGGTGCACCTGCACAGGGTTGCGATGCCTTCCGTCGTTTGCACAGTGAACTCCTATGTCCTTTCTGTATTTATGGACGCCGGGGTGTGTGTGTGTGTGTGTTGTGTTTGTGTGTCTCTCCTCCAGACGGGCTGGCCAAGAAGTTTGGGCTGACCCCCGAGCAGTTTGGGGAGAACCTCCGGGACAGCTACCAGCGCCACGAGACCGAGCAGTTCCCTGCAGAGCCCCTGGAGCTGGCCAAGGACTACGTCTGCAGGTGAGGGAGGGGCCCTCCTCCCACAGGGCCGTGGGGCAGGGGGGGGGCTCCCTCTCCTCCTCTGCCCACCAAGGCAGCCCTTCTCTGCCCCGCTTTACGGAGCTTTGTGGAGTTCTGGGGTGGGTTTCTGGGGCCTTGGGTTTGAATCCTGCCCCACGGGGGTGAGGGCCTCGGGCCGGGCCTGAGCGCTTCGGCTGGGTGGCTGGGAAGGGTGGACACAGTTTCCTTTGCACCTGGGACCGGACCCCCTTTCCTGAAAGCAAACCCCCATCCTTTGGGCCTGGTTTTTTTTTCTTCCAGTTTGTGGCAATGTCTAAGGCAGTGGTTCTCAACCTGTGGGTCGGGACCCCATTTGGGGTCGATCGACCATTTCACGGGGGTCGCCAAGCAAGGCTGTCCGCCATTTTTTCCCCCTTTTCCGGCGGGTGCCTTACCTCCCTTGGGCTGGGCCAGCTGGTGGTCGGCCTGCTCCGTCTCTGCCGCTTGCCAGCTACGCCTCGGCCGGCACAGGGGGCGGAACCACGCATGCACGGCGCTCCCAGGCAGGGAAAGTCCTCGACTTACGACCGGTTGGGTAGTCCTCGACTTACGACCGGTTTAGTCATCGACTTACGACCGGTTTAGTCATCGACTTACGACCGGTTTAGTCCTCGGCTTACGACCGGTTGGAGGTCGCAGCATTAAAAAGGTTGAGAACCACTGGTCTAAGGGCTATTCCGAATTTGATGGTTGCTTTTCTCAAATTCGGTTTCTCAAATCGCAGGAACTTTAAGAGGGGTGGGCTTCAATTGGCAATTGGCTGGAGGGTTCCGTCTTCTAGGAATCTCCTACTCCTCCTGCTTTTCTTTGTTCCTCCTCCTTTTTTCTTCCTCTTCATCCTTCCTCCTTTTCCTCCTTATCCTCCATAGGACAGTTAGCAGTCAATTTATATCTATCTTCTACACATTAGTATTTCTCCTTTTCCCCTCCTTTCCTCCCTCCCTCCCTCTCCTTCCTTCCTTCTTTCCTCCCTCCCTCCCTCCCTCTTTTCCCTTCTTTCTTTCCTCCCTCCCTCTCCTCCCTTCCTTCCTCCCTCCCTCCCTCTCCTTTCTTCTCTTTCCTTCCTTCCTTCCTCCCTTTTCTTCCTTCCTCTCCTTCCTTTTCCTTCCTTTCTTCCTCCCTCCCTCCCTCTCCTTTCTTCTTTCTTTCCTTCCTTCCTCCCTTTCCTTCCTTCTTTCCTTCCTTTCCTTCCTTTTCCTTCCTTTCTTCCTCCCTCCCTCCCTCTCCTTTCTTCTTTCTTTCCTTCCTTCCTCCCTTTCCTTCCTTCTTTCCTCCCTCCCTCTCCTTCTTTCCTTCCTTCCTTTCCTTCCTTCTTCTCCTTCCTTCCTTCCTGCTTTCCTTCCTTCCTTCCTCCTTTTCCTCCTCCTTATCCCCCATAGGACAGTTAGCAGTCAATTTATATGTATCTTCTACACATTAGTATTTCTTCTTCTCCCCTCCCTCTCCTTCCTTCTCTCCCTCCCTCCCTCCCTCCCTCCGTTTGCTGGCTGGAGAATTCTGGGAGTTGAATCCCCCCCCTTACAGTTCTCAGGATTAAGAAACGCCGATCTAGTTAACTCTGCACTGGCTCTTGCCAGCTGTCCTTTTTCAGTAGGAAGGCTGGAGGCTGAGCCCTTCGGGCAAATAATTCACGCTCTTCGTCCTGTCTATTTTTTCCCTGCGGCAGCGAAGCTCTTTTCAGTGGTCGGGGAGCAGAAGAGTAGATTGTAAATAAACAAATGAGGAGAGGGGGCTTACCGCGGAGGGTCCCGTGGCACGTACTCACAACCCCCCTCCCTTTGCCACTGATGTTTGCAGCCAGTTCCCCAGCCCCGAGGCCGTGCTGGAAGGGGCCTGCTACATGGTGGCCCTGCAGATCGCCCGGGAGCCCCTGGTCCGTCAGGTGCTGCGGCAGACTTTCCAGGAACGGGCCAAGATCAACGTTGCCCCCACCAAGAAGGGCAAGAAGGTACAGCTGGGGGGGGTCAGCGCTGGGGCCCTTTGGCCTGCTTCCCTCCTGGGGGAGCCTCCCCAAAGCCCCCTCCCCCTCCAAGCCAGCACAGGGTTTGATCTAGATTTGGAGAGGCGGGAAACAGGAATCTAGAACGTGGAGACCAAGGAAGCTGCTGGCGTGCAGAACACAGGCCGTCCTCAACTTACGGCAGTTCTTTTAGTGGCCGTTCAAAGTTACAACAAAAATGACTTACGGCCGTTTTTAACATTTACGGCGGTCGCAGCTCCCCGAGGGTCACGTGGTCAGCACTCAGGGCCCTGGGCAGCTTGCTCGTGTTTACGACGGTCGCAGCGTCCCCTGGGGTCACGCGATTCCTCTCTGGCCACCTTCTGGCTGGCAAAGTCAATGGGGGAAGAAGCCAAGTTCACTTAATAACCAGGATACTGATTTAACAACTGCAGCGATTCACGTAACAACCGTGGCAATCAATAGAAGACGTAAAACGGGGCAAAAACTCACCGAGCCAACATCTCCTTTAGCCACGTCAGTTTCGGCCTCCCTTAGTGGTCGTGAATCGAGGCCACAAAATTCCCGCTGCTAATTTGTGAAATGTGGGTTTCGCCCCATTTTACGACCTTTCTTGCCGCAGCTGAATCGTCGAGGTTGTTAAGTTAATAGCACGGTTGTTAAGTGAATCTGGCTTCCCCCTCCCCCCCATTGGCTTTGCTTGTGAGATGGTTGGAAAAGAGGATCGCGTAACCCCGGGAAGCACAGCGACTGTCATCCGTGTGAGTCAGTTGCCAACCCTCTGAATTTTGATCACGTGACTGGGGGGGAATGCTGCAGGGGCCGTCAGTCACTTTTTTCATTGCCGTTGTAACTTTGAACGGTCATTATATGAACGGTTGTAAGTCAAGGAGTAGGCACAATATGAATGATGAATAAAATGGTGACTACATTTAAATTATTTTGGCAGCGGTTTGTTCAGAGAGAGAGAGAGAGTGAGAGGCTGATGATAATAAATATAATAAATATGATAAGTGATAGAAAGAAAATAGGTAGGTAGGTAGGTAGATGATAGATAGATAGATAGATAGATAGATAGATAGATAGATAGATAGATAGATAGATAGATAGATAGA